TGTCAAGACTGACACTGATGTGTCACCAAGTTGGTTGGGGTGGTTTGTCTGAACTGCCAGGGTGAAACCTGAGGTACATGCAGTGTGGGTTTGCTTGAAACCCTGAATTGGACCAAATTCCAGTATTGCCCTAGACCTTGGAGATAGATGGGCAAAACTGGAATGTTACACATAACCCCTAGACTTGATTATGGTATTGCACTAGGTGTTGGATTGGGTTGTCTTTAATATGCCAATCAATGAGATCCTTAGTGGGGGTCAAAACCTAGGTATGTTGGGACAATTTAAGAATTCACCTGAGTGGTGATCATAGTGACAGGATCAACCCCTTTGTCAGACAAAGCGAATGTTCGGGAAATGCACTATCTCTGATGAAAACCTAAACTGTCGGCAATTGATTTCAAACTTGTTGAAATTTGTTTTGCAAAATATATTTATATAGAGATATACATATATATTATTGTTTCACAAAATGTTTGCAAAATGTTTTAATTCCCATGATCCACGTGAGTAGAGAGTGCAACACTATACTTTACAGCCAAGGGAGATGTCATCTCTTATCGGGCAGTGTATGATCATTAAGGACTGAGAGGTTTAAGTGTAAGACCATTTAGGGATAATAAACCTGATGGGCTAATTTCACATCTGCTCACAGTCCTTGGGCCTTCATAAGATGGTTGGACCCAATGACCATTTAGTGTAAATGTTGGGCTCATTAAGAGCCCATATTGATGGACTCAGGGGTTCACTGTATTCAACAGTGAATTCGGCTAGGCCTTGTAACAGAGGTTAGGCTGAACTCATGTGGCTTATGTGCAAATCAATGATAGGGTCTCACGCCATACAAAGAGAGCCAATCTATCCAGCATTTAAAGGAAGTGAGCCTGAAAGCCTAATGAGCCTAAAGCCCATTTCGAACTGTGTTCATTGGATTAATTAAATAGGAAGCGAATCTGGGTATGGATCAATAGATAAGGATAAGAGAATAACTCTTATCCATTTAAAGAGTCCAGATCCAAATAGAGATTTGGATCAAGAAACTTCTAAATTGATTAGGAGTAGCTGATCTTGATCTGCAGATAATATAAGGGATTATCCTTATCACTTAAAGAGTTCAGATCCAAATAAAGATTTGGATCAAGAAACTCCTAACCAAATTAGAAGATTGACTCTTTAAGGTCTATATAAAGGAGGAGGGCGAACTGGAATACACATACACAGTTTGACTACTTTCTACTTCTAGTTTTCTCTCTCTGCTCTTGCCACCTTACCCTATTCGATCTCCACTTCTTGGAGTGATCAAGATTCGATCTTGATATTGTTTCTTGGTGGAAGAAACAATTTTGAAGTTGTACTCACTACCTTGTTCGATTCTTGCTAAAAAATCACTTGCTGATCCTGCCTCACCCTAAGCTGTGTCATTTTCAGTGGAGGAAAGATTTGGTACTCTCTTTAGGCGTGAACACCTACGTTGGGAGGAGCTTTTTGCGTGGATACTGTATCAGGTATTCCTCTCCTTAATCTTGATTTCAGATTTGGTCAAATTTGCTTCAAGAACGAATATTGAAAATGCAGTTTTCTAAATTAGGGAATAGGATTCCCAGATGGGAGAAAGAAATTTTTGAAATTTCACCCAACCACCCTGCATGGTTTGGCCATCCATATGATGGATTTTCCATCCCTTCAATAGAGACATCAAGGCAGAAGCTCTCGACATGGCAAAGAGCATAGGAGCCCACAAAGTTTAGTTGGAGAGAAACTCACAATTGATCATTTGTAGCCTGAAAATTTTGGGTCTAAGCATAGGTTTTGTGCTCACGCTCAACCCAAACTTATTAGGTTCACATCAAATCTGAAATTTTATGGGCTAGACTTTGGTCCAATTTTTATAGGCTCAGAAGCCACGGCCCATGATTATCCATATTGTCCACTCAAAATTAAATTGAAAATATTCATGGACATAGTGTATGGCATGAAGTTGGTTAGTCCGAAAACTTGTCCTGCTATGCATTCTATTTAATGGATTAAGATGCTCTTAAAGATCCATATTTAAAAATGGGTTCAATTTGAATCCAACAATAGGGTGAGAAATTTAGGCCATGTTTGGTTTAATTCTCATTCTTTTTCATTCTTACCTTCGATGAAATTTTAAAATGGACAAGAATGGATAAAAAGTGCTTTTATAAAAGTACTTTCACAAAGTGCTTTTATAAATGTATTTTCCTAAAAGTGCTTTTATAAAAGCACTTCCATAAAAGAGCATTCGTAAAAGTATTTTCATAAAAGTGCTTTTGTAAAAGTACTTCCGTAGAAGTCCTTTTATAAAAGTATTTTCATAAAAGTACTTTCCTAAATGTTTTCATAAAAATGCTTTTGTAAAAGTACTATAAAAGTACACAAAAGTGCTTTTGTAAAAGTACTTTCATGGAAGTCCTTTTATGAAAGTGTTTTCATAAAAGTACTTTTCTAAAAGTGCTTTCGTAAAAGTGTTTTTGTGAATACTTTCATAAAAGTACTTTTGTAAAAGTGCTTTCATTTAAAAGTGTTTTTGTAAAAGTGCTTTTGTAAAGGTGCTTTTGCAAAAGTAAACATTTATTGCAATAGTTTTGTAGGAAGAGTTTCTTCAAAAAATAAAATGAGCAAGATGGGACATGATTATTTTTAATGCCACAGGCTACTCAATTTTTATGTTATGAAACTAATTTTTCATTCTAAAAAGAATGTAGCCATTGACAAGAATTTTGTAACCAAATACTCTAATGTTATTCATTCCTGTCCGCCCATTCTTGTCTAAAATGAGCAAGAATTAAGAAAATAATGCCCAGAGTAGTGAACCAAACATGGCCTTAGTGTATTCGGTTGTTTAGATGAGAAAGGAGAATAAGCCATAAAAAGGAACAATAATGAAAGATATAACAAATAAACATTAAAAAAACAAAAATTAAAAATAAAAAAAAATTGATAAAGAATAAAAAATGTGAAATAAAAAATAGAATAAATAAATGTACTATTTCAATAAAATGAAATAGTATTTGATAAGAAAATAACACAAATAACTGATGAAGTTAAACTCAAAAAATATGAAATATGAAAGTATAAAACAAAATAAAAAATGTAGTTATGGAAGATTCTTGTGTTGGTTTATTCATGATTTGTTTACCTTTATTGTTTGCTCTTAGTTAATCAAAAAACATTTTATTCATGCTTGTTTGGAATATCATGTGGGTCCCACCTATTGAATCTAGGAGAGGGATGTTTTACCCTTCCCTCTCCCATCCGAGTCTTATCTTACCTTGACAAGGCTTGGGTTTTGGAGTTATTATTAAAACAAATGTGTTTTTGAGAATTATTTTGTGAGGTCTCAACACCTCAATCACATAATTTATCAGAACACAGACACACAAGAAAGAAAGAAGTTCATAGCACCATACAACGAAATCACCAGAATCTGCAATAATTGTTTTAGCCCAGCTTGGGACTTTAGCCTCAAAATCTTCATAAGAGACCTGACCTCTAACAGCGGAACCATAAAACCATGGGCCACTTTGTTTGCGCTCCTAGGGATGAGGGAGATTCACAGATTTAGCTTCTTTAACCATTCCTTTGAATCCTTGATTAGAAAAAGCAGAACAGGTGGACAACTTTTCTCCATACCTAGAATGGCATTCACCAACAATCACTTTCAAAAATTATTCCATTGCTTTCACTTCTATTCTTTAGGCTGCATTTGGTTGCGTTTGGAAACAAATAGAGTGTAAATCCTTGTTCAGGTAAATTTGCATTCTGGTTCATTTTTGTCTGTATTTGGCAACATTACAGCTCAAGTCTGTATTTGGCAACATTCAAGTGGGATTTTGATTAAAAAAAAAAGCTTATGCTTTATTGAAATTCATGTTTGCATCCATTATAGCTAAAAGTTTGTTTGGTAAGAAGGTAAATTTGTCAGTGCAACACTAATCCAATTTTGCAATTTATATGAACCATTTTATATTCTACATATTTGCATCGTTTTTAAATGCAACCTTAAGCTTAATTTGAAAGTACAAATACAAATATATACAATACAAATGCATATAAAATATAAGAATTTGTATTATATTTATCAAGTTATAAATAAACTAACCCAATAACAAGAGAAACCTATCAAGTTAAATAATTCCTTGTGCACATAATTTATCAAGTTATAAATAATCTAACCCAATAACAAGAGAAACCTATCAAGTTATAAAACCCTAAAGGCCCAACAAAGGTTTCAGAGTGTCTTGCGACCTGGATGTAGGCCCATGGGAGTGTCCTTGATCTACCTTGCCATATGTGCAGTGAGTGGTCAATAGTAGACCTGTTCATGGGTCGGGTAGCCCGATGGGCCAGCCCGACCCGACCCGATCTAAGTCGGGCTTGAATAAGATTTCAGGCCTGTGGACTCGGGCTTGGACCTAAAATATCGAGCCCAACTTTTTTCGGGCTAGGCTCGAGCTTTATCAAAAAAGCCCGGCCCGAACCCGACTTGATAATGTATTATATTAATAAAAATATATTTTATATAATAAAAAAGTATATATAATATATTTTTCTTTTCTTTTTTCTTTTTTCTTTTTTCAAGTAATAATGAGACTTTTCATTATTTTTTTTTAGCTTTTGAGGTCTTTTAGTATAAATAAAACAACTTTTAATTGAATTAAAAACGGAAAAAATCTTTTTTTTCCAAATTTTTTATCCGGCTTAAACTCGGGCCCAGACTTCAGGCTTTATAATTGGGCCAAGCTTGGGCTCAAGACCTAAACCCAATGGTCGGACTAGGCTCGGACTCGGGCCTAAACATTTTTTGTTAATGTAACGATAAAGTCCGGTTCGGCCGGTGAACAGGTCTCCTCAATACTCAATGCCATTCGTTAGAATTTAGAAAGTGCCCAGACACACAGGGGATTCCTTTATTAAAAGAACTTGCCACGTGTACAGGAGGTCCTTGCACTCAGGACTCAGAATACGCCTCTGGACTGGCCAAAGCCATTCCGCCACGTGGAGATGCCAGGTGCTCGATTCTACATTTCTACTTGTTGAAGTTTGCAATTTAGAAGTTGCGATCTTTCTTTCCGTCTCCTGCTTCACGGGGTGTTGGTTCTTCTTCCCTACAATATCTGCTGCTTTCTTAGCGTCGAAGAGTTCATCCTCAGTTTTATTCTATCTATTACTCGCTCAGGTATTTGTTCTTTGGATTCTAGGTATCTGTTCCTGACTTGGGTTCTGCTATTTTTTTATTATTTTTTTGTTGCTTATTTGTTTAGAGGGTTGAATTGAGGAACCTTAGCTCTGGGATTTTTTGAAGTTTGAATGACAAGGTCTTGATGTTGGGATCAAATTTTTGTCTACTTTTGTTTTATTTATCAGCAATTATGGACAATCATTCTGCTCCTTTTTTATATAAACCCCACTTGTTCTAATGCGCCGATTTTGTTTGTTTACTTGTTGCCCCCTAGTTATTTGATCGATTGCTTGTTAAAGATTTATGCCATTAGAACCCTAATTTATGATGTCTAGAATGAATTTCGAGGTATCAAATTTTCTAGGGGAACTGGTTTTGGGCTACAATTTGCGAAGCTGAATAATGATAAAGTAGGATTTAAGCGTCCAGAAGGCGTAAGACTACAACATTTGTATTTATGTCCTTGAAGAGCTTGATGTCCTCACTCTCAAACTTACTTATGTTCTCGTTAAGTTTGATAGTTGGTTCTCACATAGAACCTGATGAGGATGAATGAATAAACCAGAATTTAGATTTAAAACGATTTGCTGCCTAATACACGATTTTTTTTTTTTTTTTTTTCTGGAGAGACCTAAAAAAAATATAACAACAAAGTATAATGCTTGGATTTCGATGTCATTTTTTTTGTTGAAAAAGAAGCATCTTTTTTGTGGGCTGTTCTCTCTTTTGATTAAGTGGCCGTTGTTTCTTTAAATCTATACAAGGTTGAAATAGTGAAGCAGTTCTATGCTGTATTGGATATCTGAGAGTCTTAATATGCTATTTATTCAACAAATAAAGTGTTTCTGCTGCACTTAATAAGTGGACAATCTTTGTGCCTATTTTATATTTGTTTTACGGACACAATAGCTCAGTAGGTACTAAATGTTTCTAGGGTTTCATATGGGTGACATACTAGTCTCTTTAATTTTCTGCAAAGTCCTAAGGGCTTTACCCATGTTTGTATTCTACTCAAAATAGTTGACTTTTCCCTTTTTGAGAAAAAAAAACAAGGATCTAATTCCATTGATGATTTAGACATTCAATAAATACACAAATGCACATGCTTTTTTATTTTTATTTTTAATGGGATACATGAATATGCATGTTAGGCTTAAGGCTTCTTTATTTTCTGAATTTGTTTGCTTTAAAACTTGAGAGACTAAATAAGGGATGGGAGATCGTTTAGGCTATGCTTGGTTTGAAGGAAAATGTAGGGAAAGGAAGGGAAAGGTAGGGAAACCTTTACAAACTTTGTATTGGTTTCCCTGCCTTTCCCTTCCTTTCCCTACCTTTTCCTTCAAACCAAACATAGCCTTAGGGTCTAAGTTGAGAGAAGATCATGGTTTAGTAACTTCAGTTCTTTCAAATAGAGGTGTTAAGAGTTATGAATTTAAGATTTTGAAAATGCTTTTGTATGGTGGTTTTGATTTCACAGTTTCAAGATTTAGGTAAAAGAAAGGATATCTTTCTAGATGGACATGGGGTTTTAGTACCAAACTTAAGGTGTAACAAAAATAGATGATAGTTGAAGAAATAAACAAATATAAAAGAAATGAAAGGAGCCTAGGAAAAGCCCAAGGTAAATCCACATCTCTTGGATGTTGTCAACTTTTAACATCCTGCAGGATGGTAGGTAATAAATGAATAAAATGTGAGGCAAATGAGTGTGGAGTTTATTTGTACATTTGTTTGGTTATTGTAAGTGGTGGGGGTGATATCTTGTCACTGCTTAGTTGTATTTCTCTCTTCCTTTTTTTCCAATAAAAATCTTTTTTTTTTTTTTTATAAATAAAGCAGCAGCAGTCATGGAAACGAAAAGTAAGCTACAATTTTCTCAGAATATTTAAATAATGGGGCAATGTGCATTCTTAGACGTAACGAGATGGTCTACCCGAAACGCAAAAATAAAAATATAAAGGAGCAAGTTACCTGCTTTCCCAGGATAAAAGCAACTAACAACTATTTCAACAGTTCTTGCTTATTGTTCTTATGTTAATTGAGCTTTCCCCTTGTTAAAAATCAATGTTCATGTGCAAATTATTGCCACCAATATTGTTGCAGTCCAGAAAATGATTCTAGAAGAAATTGACATTGAGCATCACTTGAACTACAGTCTTTAGTATATGTTTTGTAACTTATCATGATTTTCTATAATTTTAGAAGTATATTTTTATAATTAGTTTCCTTTCAATGACTTGATGATTTTCCCTGTTTTTTAATTGGATTTATACTAGGCATACTTTGCATGTTCTGCCTGATTATTAGGTGATTCCCATCTATAGAAGGGGCAAATCCTTCTTTCCATTGCCACTTTTGACATAAACCTTTCTCATTGTTTTCAGTTTGGCAGACTTTTTAACCATTTGGTTGCTTGCTTATTAATTATTATTGTTTCCAACAGCCATTGTCACTTCCAAGAGTACTGTAGAAATGGCAGTAGAAGGTGATGTTTGGCAAGATTTTGCTTCTTCAATCACTTCCAACTCCAAGGAGCCTAGCCAGACAGGGGATGCGCCATCTCCAGAAGATGTGGCATGGGCAGATTCTTGCCTGATCAAAGATCCTGAACTGTCAGATAGTAATTGGGATTCTCTAAAAGATGCCTTACTTGATATTCTTAGTTTTCAAGCTCACTCATATCATGACAGTTCAGCTAACGAAAGTGATGGGTATCCACAAGAAAATGATTCTGAGATGCTCCCGGTGATTGAGGAGGCAGAATCTGAAAATTCTCCAAGAGAAAATGATAATGATGACCTTTTCCCCATTGGTGAAGAGGCCGAAAGAGAACAAGTTCTGCTTGGCGCTAAAAATGACTTTCTTCCTGACAGTGAAAGGGCTGAAGCTGCATATCGGGACTACTGGCTAAATGAAGTTTTATTTCCCAAAGAAAATGGAGACGGTGGTATTGGGGTTAACGTGAGTTCCTCTGATGATATAGATTCAACACCTAATGACATCTTCAGGGTCTGGAATCTGGATACACAAGTTGAAGAAGATGAGCTTGTCAAAGAATTGAAGAAGGCCCTAGCAGAGAATTCGATCCGATCTATGCCACTGAATTTGGATGATGTTGGAACAGGCCCCCTCCGAGACACACCAGTCTCCCTGGATGGTACAAGAAGAGATACAACTCTATACGATTTGGGCACTGAAACAAATGAGGAAGCAATTGATAATCTAATTGCTGGCATTGCTGATCTGTCTTTTCATGATTCTTCTACTTGAACTCTAGTTGAACATTACGTTCACAGTTCACTCTGGCACCTTGAATCTGTATATATTTCGTGCTTCTTATATGACATTTTTATTTATCAAAGTATCAATTTCTCCAATTCTTTTACGTTTGGTAAAGGGCGTTGGCCACATTACAATTTACATTCAGATGCACTGGGTGCATTATAATAGCTGGGCCCAAGAAATCGTCTGGACTTGGGATGCCCTTTACAGAGTCCTCATTTAATTCTGGATTCAAGCAAGAAACAAGAGTACTTCATACCAAATCCTGCCCGAATAAAATCTGCTTGCAAGTTGCAACTTGATTATGGGAATTTGGATAGTGGTCCTAGTGGATTTTGACATACGGATCAATTTATATAAACCAAATTATATGTGGTTTTAGGGCGATATGTACAGGCAAAAGAGCATTAGTGTAACAGAGCAGAAAGGTACATTAGAAATGGTTAACCTGCTGTAGGCAAGGTTCAAAATATCGTATTGGCATATCGGTTTTTAGGGTCACTAATATGCTAAATAAGCAGAGTTAAATGCAATGTTTAGAAGACCATACTAAATTGGCTGATCGGACCAGTTGAACCATGACCCAGGTCCTGACTGGTTTGGTCATCTCCAAAAACTAGAACTAAAAAACTAACTGAAACCAGCTGACTGGCTGCTTTAACCAGAGAACCAGATAATCGGTCCTGGTTTCATAAAATTGGCCGTGTCAGTAAATGCAAGGAAATTTCAAAATGCTAATATCATTGTTAACGTTTGGTAGCTATAGGGCATAATTGAACTGAGATGTTTTGGCTTGATTCCACTAAATATTGCCATGTTCGAGTTCAGGTTTGAGCCATATTTTTGGTTTCAAGCTCAATTTATTAAATATTTGATAAGTTCTGAGATCAACTCGAAAGCTCAGAAACTAATATATTTTTATGTTTTATAAATATATGAGCAAGACTGGTGAGCTTTCAAGCTGAACTTTTTAATGAGGTGAACTCAAATTCAAATAGCCAATCACTTACTTGAGATTCAAACTCGAGCCCAAACCATTTGATTCGTTGCACTCATATTTGGCTGTGTGCTTTTTCACCAAGTTTCACGGACAGTAGAGGTTTAGGAAGGATACAGATTACAGTCAATAAAGTAGTAAAATGGTAAAAGAGTACAATCAGTTAAAGATAAATAGGCTGATTGTCCAAAAATCCAATGACCTACTATATGTTTGACATCAATGCTGCAGATACAGCACTGTTTTCTCAGAAAACGGTACTGCTGATGTGTGGGTTGGAAGCACCGTTTTTTGAAAAAACAGCGTCACTTTTTTCATTTGGAAACATTACTGCTAGGTAGAACATTTCCTAGAGCAACAATACTTTCTGTTTGGTACTAGTGCTCCATGTCTGTTTTCAACACTAGTACCCATTATACGAAGTCCACATCACGTCCTCATTGGCAACGAACTACAATCTAAAAAAACGCCAAATTCGGTGTTGCTCCAAACTACACCTTTTTGATTTCTAAGGCATGGCTTGATGCACCATTTTTTTATAGAAAAATGGTTCCAAACAAACAAGTTTCCTGGAGCACCGTTTTTTCTGACACCTAATGCAGCTGGTTAATGTCTAATGACCTTGATGGAAAGAGCCGAACTCAAAAGTTTTATTCACAGGCCAGTCTAACTATTTCAAACCCCGCTGAACCTCCGACCTCGTATCTTTTAACAAATGAAAGACGGCAATAAGTTTAACACAGGCTCGATCTATTTCATGATATCCATGAGAATTTTGATTCATTCACCATGCCCTTATGCAAGGTGTCTTAAAATTGCACTAAAATTGAGAAGAGAACCCACAAAGTACCTTTTCTGGCCTTGTAATAGCTCAAAAGTCAAATCTGCAAAAAGAAGAGAGAGAGAGCTCATATCATGCTTTCACTGCATCATGACCTTTAAAACACCATTCAGAACCATAGTTGTTCTCAATGTACTTACATAAGAGTTAGCAATGTCTAGGACTCTTTCTAAGATATTCCCAACAATTGCTAATGAGTAGGATATGATAGGAAGGGTACAGGATAACTATGAAACTGTAACACCATTAAGTTCAACTTGAGCAACTGCTGTATTGATTGCATCAATTATGTCCATCTTCCCCCTGCTAACTGCTTCATCCATCGGTGTCCTCTCGTAACTAGACAATACCAAAACACAAGCATTCATTACAAGGACGACAGCTTTACATCTCTATTCTACCAAAAGAGAAACTTGTTAACCAAGTACAAAAAACAAACCTATTTAAAGTAGTCACGTCTGCTCCTGCCAGAATCAAACTCTTGACCACCTGATGAAAGAAAACAATTATCACTTGACTTGCAAGATGCATATGATTCCATAAGTTAGAAGCACCATTATTACCTCAATATGCCCATTGAGGCAAGCCCAATGAAGAGGGGTATTCTTCTCCAAATTGGATGCATTGAGATCCTGCATCAAATAAAATCTCCATAATTTATGATAATCGCTTGAAGAAAGCAATTAGATAAAGAAAACAAGCCCCCCAAGGAGAACACCTTGGATGAGTACCACCAACAATAGAACTACAAACTACAGCTCCCACAGACTCCTATACCCCAACAGCACCCCCAGGTTATACTGCTGAAACCCAAAAACCAGCTTCCCAAAAGAGAAAGAAACTAATTCTTCCACATTCTTGGAGGTCTTCTGGAAAAGTCTGCTATTTCCTCTAGTCTAGATAGTACTAATCACATCAGATAACATTATCTTTGACAAAGGGTTTTAGATAAGTAATTTTTGCGTTATAATTTGGTTACAACAACCAAACAGGTCTCGAGGGAGGCATTTGCATCTCCAGACAAGTGGATTATCTGGACAGAGCCCCAACTTGCTGTTAAGTAGCCTGCTTGCTAATATACCATTAGTTTATTTCCTATGTAATTTAGACCCAGTGAATGGAAAATTCAGCTCAACAACTCTTGCATTACCTCAATTAGTAAAACATGTTCTTCTAAAGAGGCATAGAGAACATAGAATTTCAGTAACAGTGATAAGACACTCACCCACCCTTCTCACCCAAACGAAAATAGAACATTGAGCTCAACTTTGATTGGTCATTGGCGCACCTTGGGAACCATGGTTCAGCAAAGATTTGACTTTTCCACAAAATTAGGGGTGATCTATTATTTCCAGATATGGATATAGATGATATGGACATGCATACAGGAAATGGAGATACAACTCTCCATCCTACCCAGACTTGGATATGGGTATGGATATCCCATATAATATGCAAATATCTTGCTTTTATATCTAGATTTTGAAAATCAGCATCACATCTCAAGACTTGTGCCTTGTAGTTAGTCAATATATGCACTCTTCTAGAACTACTCACCTCCTTGCAGTTGAAAGGATATTAGCATATTTGAAGAGGTCCCCAGGCAGAGGCATTTTGTTCAAGAAAAATAACCACATGAAGATAGAAGTCTACACAGATACTGATTGGGCTGGGTGTGTTGATGACCGAAGATCTACCTCTGGATATTGTGCCTTTGTTGGAGGTAATCTGGTCTCCTGGAAGAGTAAGAAACAAAGTGTTGTTTCTCRTTCAAGTGYTGAAGCTGAATATAGGTCCATGGCAAATGGTGTGGCTGAGATTCTATGGTTGAGGTCATTACTAGAGGAATTGGGTATTGTTTATGAGAAATCCCTAATGTTGTACTGTGATAATCAGGCTGCCATCAATATAGCCCATAATCCAGTACAGCACGACAGAACTAAGCATATCGAACTGGACCGGCATTTTATCAGGGAAAGGGTTACATCTAAAGAAGTATGCCTTTCCTACATCACCTCTGACATGCAACTTGCAAACCTTGTCACCAAGGCTGTTTCAAGAAAGAAGTTAGAAGAAGATCTATGCAAGTTGGGAATGACAAATATCTACTACCCAACTTGAGGGGGAGTGTAGGAAACTATGGACCCCACATTGAGAGTATTCGTGTGACACCCTGAGATGTACTTTGATTTAATTGATTAGGATCAGCTTTCCTAGTAGGATAAGGATAAGTTTTATTCTATCTTATCTAGGATTAGTTATTCTATCTTATCTAGGATTAGTTTTATTTTAATCTTATCTTTTATTGCCATGTAAGCATTAAAGTTCTTTTACAATTAGGAAACCATGTATATAAATTAAGGAGTGGGGCGGCTGTTTTAAGCACTCCAACCATTCTCTTCTTTCAAAGCTTCTCCCCCGAGTGCTTCTTCTCTCTCTCTTCTTCTCTTCTTCTCTTCTTTTCCTTTTCTCCTTCTCTTTTATTTTCTATTCAAAACCTAAAGAGTCTCTGTAGTCTTGTACGACTACTAATGCAAAACTACAAGTTTAAGGAAAGGAGCACATCATAGACAATATTTGAAGGAAATAAGATGAAATTCTCATAAATGGCTTCCTTACCACCCCATTTCTGATAAGGTACTGCACAATGTCAAGATGTCCATTAGCAGCAGCCATATGTAGTGCTGAAATGCAATTACCAGTGAACCAAGTCAAACATAGACCAAATGACAGTCAATTAGCATTGACCAGCATATACATCAAACGAATTCACAGAGTACATGCCAGTACTGAAACACAGATAACATGTCAGACAAATGAAGCTCATTACTAAAAGAACAATAGAATTGGCACCAATATGCATCTAGAGGCAACATTCATGTGATATAACAAGGCAAGTTAAACTCAAAAAAGGAAAAAACTATAGAGACCACTCCCCCCCTCCCATGTATTAGGGAAGACGGCCTGGAAAAATGGTGAGGGCCAACCCTGTTGTGTTGTTCTATATTTATTTATTTATGTTTATACAGAACCATGGAAGCAAATGAAGCATTATGCTACTCCCCAAGTCCCTATCACCTCAATATGCCAAAGACAGAAAGCCCTCTAATCAGTAGAAACTTCAATGAGGTAATAATATCCAAATGTGATTGATTATTTAAGGAAAACATGACATTTACCATCTAGAATGCACTAGCAAATATTTCTAGATGTTCTAATCATTTTGTTCGATGAATAAAGATGATGTTCTAGTCATTATCAGTCATAGAACAGAAACTTCTATACGATGCCTTATAGAAGTGAACTTTAGCTCTTAACTATATATCTAATGTCATATGCAGGTTTTATATTCCATGGAACTTGAATTACTGTTGAATAAAAAGGCACAGTTGTATTTTTTTTGTCTCCATCAACATATGTTTTTTTTTTTTTTTTTTGTATAAGGAGATTTCTTGTCTATAACAAATGTCTTCAATCTTTTGAACTCCAATAATGATTAATTGTTTAACCATAGTTACTTTTTCACCACCCCATAAATTATTTTTCTGATCAATATATAAACAATATTATAAATACCAACTGGCAAATCCTTTTGACCCTTCAACCAGTGTTTTTAAAAGGCGTGCCTCATTGAACCCAAGTGTAGATCCTTTGAGAAGGCATATACCCATGTGCCTAGGTATGCACCTTGTGCCTCAGCTCAGGAGTATGCCTTTTTTGTGTGTGTGTGTGACTTTTTTTTTTTTTTTTTTTTGTGGATTCGCATCTTTGTAATGGTTTATGAACTTCGAGATTACCTTTTATTGCTGTCTAGACTAGTAATGGATTATTGACTTAAAATAAACAAAAAACTTTTCAAATACCAAAAACCTTAGTCCTTGCAAATAGAATTCAAATAATAAAATTTCTATTGAAGTAACGATAATACAGAGAGCACGGATTGCTAGAGAGCTGAACTTTGGGAATTTGCCAAGTAAAGGTGATTCAAAACTGGTAGTTGGGTGGCTAAAGGAGCCAGAGACTGTAGCTTGGTCCTTTAGGGGGGCAATGAGAAGATTCAAGTGGCTAAATTCCAACATATTAGTGAGAGTTCACTGGGAGAGGAGATCAGCTAATGGGCCAGCAGACTTTTTAGTAGCAAGGGGTGCATAGGGATCATCTATTTGGGCTCAATTGTAATCTTGTTTTGTTTTTGAGGCTGCAGATAACACCTCTTTATGATACTATCCTTTGATAGTTCTTTATTTGATCTTTAATAAAATACTTCTTATTACTTTAATAATGCAGAGGGAGACAAATTTTGCAGTCTAGGTCAGAGATCCTCCCTCAGACCCCAGCCAAGCCCCCAAGACCTTTCTTGATGTGAACCAAGCTGAATTTCATGTGCAAGGGGTTCTGTCTGAGTGGAGGCAAGTGAGTGAATACTAGACATTCATCATCAAATAATATATGATTCTTAATCTTAAAATAGAATGAACTATGACTAAAATCACAAAACCAACCTCTTTATATATACAAGCCAAAAGTTTAGGTTGGGGACACTGCCCTAAACCCTTGCATGGAATTGTTTGGGCTTGTCTCGAAGGAGTTCGGATGGGCTACACATTTTATTGTTGCAATGTGGGCTGAACTTCCATCTACATTGTAACACATCACTCTTTTGGGGAAATGTGTAAAAGTGACAGGAGGTGGGTTAATACTCCTGTTACTCAGTTTTTTCCTTTTTTTTCAAACAAAAAAAAAACTGAAAAAAGCATTTTTCGGCAAGTCCTCTCTCTATTCTTTGTTCTCTCTGTGTGTATTTCAGGGAGGAAGACTTCGAACAATGAAGAGAGCATCTCAATGGGTAGAAAACTAAATGGAATTTGGAGTGAGCAGTGGAAAAAAACTTGAACAGTGGTAGAAAAGAAGGTTTTCGGCAAGTCCTATATCCTCTATTTTTTCATATGGAAGACATATACTGATTGTTCTCTCTCTCTCTCTCTCTCTCTCTCTCTCTCTAGGTTCTTGGATGAAAGGATTTGAACAGAGTGAAACTTATTTTTTGAATGGGTTTTAGACTTTTAAGGTGGAAGGTTTTGAACAGGGGTAAATAGTTGCTTGACCAACTGTTATAGTCCTCTTGCCCGGTTGCCCCTATGGCAATGATGTCGAACCCTTGAACATCTTCCTCTCCCCCATCAAGCCCGGTTCCCCCATCATATTGGACAGCTAGTTGAAATCTCTCCACTGTGCAACATACCTAATAAAGTATGAAGATTTTTAATAAAAGCTAATACAGTTTGATTAATATCATATAAAAAATCTATGAGATTTCAGAGACCTTCAAAGACAATAAAAGCCTTCGTGTATAATTTATTAGAGTATAGGGGCTTGTTTTGAGCAAGAAAGACAACAAACTATCATAGATTATAGTAGATGTTCAAGACTGCTATCAGCCTTGAACCCTAATAGATTTCAGGTTCGAAAATAGGAGAAAAGGTATAGAAGAGAGAGGAGAAAGAGTAGAGAGAGAGCAGTAGAACACAAGAATTGAAAGGAAGGACAGAATCTGAATGTTCTGCCGCCACCACTTCTATTTAGTATTTATAAGTTATGCTAATTACATGGAAAGGACAGATCTGCCCTTAGTATTTACATAACAAATAGAACAAAATAAGCTGAAATAAATAACTGAAATAACAGATTGACCACCAGCTAACCCTAAGACGACTAGAACACATTCTACCCTACGAACACAGTGGGACCATAGCTGTGGGGCCCACATCAGTGTTCTCTACAATTATGAAATTGGCATGATATTGTTTAATATGGTCTGGTGAATACTGTATAAGAAATTTGAAGCTTCTATGTGATTTTAGAGATCTTCAAAGACATTTGAAGCCTTTATGCTAAATTATTAAGGCATAAGGGCTTGTTTTAAGAAAGAAGCGTAATAAAAAGATTTATGAAGTTGGTGTCATATTGTTTAATATGGTCTGATTAATATCATATAAGAAATCTATGTGATTTTAGAGACGTCAAAGGCATCCAAAGCCTCCATGCTCAATTATTAAGGTATATGAGTGAGCCATAATAACCATTGTTTGTGGGAACTAGGAATACTCTTTATTTGTCTTTTTTTGTTCGTGTTGCAGGGAGGAAGATTTTGAACAAGAGAGAGGGACCGACTTCTCAATGGGTAGACAAATAATTGGAGAAACAAATACCTGAGCAGTAGAGGACTTCAAGAATGTTGGAAGAGAAGTGTTTCAATAGGTTCTATGTTCTCTGTTCATTGAATGGAAGACATGAACCAGTTGTTTTCTCTCTTTGAGCTTTTGGGCATGGGCGGAAGGTTTTGGACAAGGTAAAATTTCATAGATTTATAGGGTGGGGGGTGAAAGATAAATGCTTTTTTTTTTTCATTTTTATTTGAGAAAAAAAAGAAATAACAAGAGTGTTAACCCACCTCCCATTACTTTTACACGTCTTCCCAAAAGAGCAGCGTGTTACAACGCAGATGTAAGTTTAGCCCACGTTGTAACAACAAAATGTGTAGCCCATCCGCTCTCGTCTCAAAGGGCCTTTAAAGGTAGAGGGCCAATCTCCTGGAACTAAGAATGCAAGATGTTTAACATCACAATAGCTACTTGAAGTGATGCAACCAGGAGATAAATAAAATAGATGAAAAGTTTCACATGCTTGAATTGTTGAGTACTTGAATGACTTCGATACAATCCACATCTTTTTTTATCAGTGAAAGAAAAATTCACTAATATGAGGAAAATTATGATTACAGATTCTGAGTAGCCTCGGCTACCCCACTAAACTTGATATATCAATTTTCAAATTTGGTTTTTCACCTTTACAACTGAGCCCAGGAACAATGATCCCTGTTAACCCCTTGTTTTGCTAGCTGGTCTGCAAAACCATTAGCCGCTCTTGGGGTCCACTGAATTATCGGCTGCATATATCCTTGGATAGATTCTTAAGTTTCTTGATTTCATTTCTGAAGTGCCAGGGTATTCTTTCAACTTGCTTTAACCAGCTTATCACCACTTTGGAATCACCTTCCACAACAAGCTTTCTCACCCCCAGTTCCTTGGCTTTTTTGTAACCCAAAAACCACTGCCTTTAGTTCAGCTGTAGTCTCCTAATCCAATAGGGCCTGAGTACAGTCCCAGAACATACCCCTTATCATTTCTTAATACTCCTCCAATTCCAGCTCTACCCAGATTACCAAAAGTGCTTCCATCAAAGTTGTGCTGATTTCGGGGGGTCCCAGTCCTTTAATACCTTTTTCTTTACAACCGAGGAAGAAGCAACTGCTCTCCAATTCCTGATTATATCATCCACAGTGAAGTCTGAGAATAACTTCAGAGATTTTACCCAGGATGTCACCTTCATCATAATCTGTTCTATTAATTCTTCCTTGCATCTTTTCTTTTCTTAAAAAATTCTCAGATTTTTCTCCTCCCATAATACCCATAATACTGCTGCCATTGTGCATCTCCACAATTTTCTCCCTCTTCTTTTTGGCCATCTGAATGTAGAAGAGTCAAACAGCCTTTCCAATCTATCTGGAGTATCCCACCTGCACCCAAAAAGATAGAAGAACCAAGCCCAGATAGCACTAGCTGTTGGATTGAAGTCTTTGTATGTATGAGTATTCGGCTGATAAGAGTTSYTAKTARCCWWTACTTAWGTTTAAGTTGTCCTGTACTGGGCCTTTGTTAATGGGCCTAATCCTGTTTAATGTTTTAAGTTGTCTGGGTGTCCCATCACTAATCAGGGGCATTCTAGTAACTTCHTGTATCATTGTACTACACCATAATATAAATAATAGTACTGTCRACTGAGCAGATGAGTTCGACATTCCTGCATCTCTTCTTCTTCTTCTTCTTCTCTTTTCTGCTACTTCGGCTACAGTAATTTAGCTTTCACTAGCAACAGGACAAGAGACAAGAATATGAAAAGCAGTCTCACCATTCGACTTGCAAAAATAATTTACACACTGCTACTTGCAAAGAAAAATGGTGGAATCCTAACTGGAGTGCAGCTGATCAATTGTATCCCCCTGGAAATGGTGGGTCACTCTTTCCCAAGAGGTCAAGTACTACTCAGTCCTTTGGATCACCACCTAACACCGCTTGCTCTCTGTTGAGCCATCTGGAAGAAGCATAATGGCTATAGCCCACAACTCTCCAAGCTAAAAGCAATCCATTCGTCTTAAGAAATCATCCATTGTCTCCAAAAGAATTGCAGAAATGAGACCACACTGGACTGCAAAACTACAGTGAATGAAGATGTGGCTAGGGGACTCCCCTAGTATCCCACAAAAGCAACAGATATTATTCAGTACTAGCCCTCGGAATAAAAGATTATCTGTTGTGAGAATTTTGTTCCAGGATGTAGACCACATGAGAAACATCACTTTAGGTAGGGCTGGTGCTTTACAAATCCAACACCAGCTTACAAAAGAGTTGCCTGATCTATTGCCACACCAAAGTCTAGAATCAGGCAATGATGGCTGAATGTGTGTGCCACTGAGACATCCCAGTAGACTGGTAAAGGACTCCACTTTCCGATCATTTGAAATTCGCCTGAACTGGGGAATCCAAGAGATGCTGACCTTGTTTCCTCGTAAAACTCTTTGACTGTGGCTCCTTATTGGTAGCGATGCAGAAAAGAATTGGAAATGTGTTGCATAAAGTCTACTAAACTCCTTTATGTTCATGATTCCCTTCCAGATAGATCCATAGGTGCTGTGGGGGTAAGGTCTCCCAGTTCAAAACTGTTCTTCCATGTGAACAATCACCTTCCACTACAAATGATCTTTTTTCCTTACAGTGTTTCCATAGCCATTTACAAAGAAGGGACTTGTTCAAGGTTCTAAACCTCCTCAAACCCAGACCACCTGCAGCCTTAGGTTGACAGACAACATCCCATGCCAAGAGAATCTTATTCTCCCTGTTTAGACATCACCACAAGAAATCCCTTTCAAGCTTCTCTAAGATGTTGACAACTGAAGCCAGCATAAAGACCAAGGACAAATAATAGGTTGGTAGGTTTGACAACACACAATATAAAAGTGTGAGTTTTCCACCTTATGATAAACAGATCTTCTTCCAACCTGCCAGCATCCACTGGAACCTCTTCACCACTGCACTGGATCCCAGATGGCTTTCAACCTATAATTTATCCACAGTGGATGGCCAAAGAACTTGCTCGGAAATCTGTCCACTCTACTGCCCAAAGTAGCTGCAAGATTATACCTGATCCATTGACATCCCTAGGGACTTTAAGGCCCATAGGTCTTAGGCCTGGGCCTTCTTTTTAGCCCATTTCATATCTCTATCACCAAGCATCTTTAGAAGGGTGAGAAAAGATAATCCGAGCATATTTCTATGATACCTTGTCACCTGAGATTGTATCTCTCTTCTATATTCTTCTTACAAATTTTCTATTTAACATACACAAAAAAAAACAGTGAGAAAAAAAAAGTCCTCTTATCCTCTATTTTTCCTACAGTAATCCTCTTAAAGCTTAATATAATATACATCTCAAGAGAGAAACACCATTAACTGAATGATTTCTTACTCCAATTGTGCAATTTTCAAAGGTATCATAATTATATATCTTTTTTCAACACTTTTTTAGAGCCAAAACCTTGTCCTAAAAACATTACAATCTTGAAGGAAATAGCGCCATGGCAGAACATCTTGCTATTACTATTATGATGAACCTTAAATTGCCATTAATAATAATCTCAAGTTTATTGTTTCAAAGACAGATTTAAGGTTCTGCATAACTTTCACATTTTGCAGTTCTGTGTAATTATGGACCCTGTAAATTTTGATGTAAGACCACAAAAAAAAAAAAACGGACATGCCTTACCTTTCTAAAATGGGCTTAGAGACAAAAGAATACTGACCTACCATTTTAGAGGCATGGATTATAGACATGTAGACCACAAGAAAAGAATAGAAAAATAAATCAGAAAGTCAGCTAAAACACAATGATAACAAGAAAAATAACATGTACATATGATTCTTGAGTTACATCCACAATAATAACAGCCAATTTGATAAATAAATAAATAAGCAACAACCTGTTCGGCCTTGAGAATCCTTAGAATTAAGAGGAACACCAGCAGATGATAAACTTATGATGTCATCAATGTCGTCGTATCTAGCAGCCTGTTAAACAAATAATTACAAGTCCAATAAGCAAAGTAACAACACAATTAATCTGAGCAAGGAAGTGTTGCAGCATGAATCCAAGCAAATAAGAAATGAACAACATACTAACATCTATACTCTGTTCATTCATGTATCATAGGACACAGTTAAATACAATATAATATCCTATACACACCATATGATAAGGTGCTTGCCTTGCCCTTTTCCTTGGCTAAGAAAGTGCCGAAAACAATATACAACAAATCGTTCTTTACCCTTTTCACAAAAGAGGAGAAAAACCCTAACATAAAAACTCCTATGAAACGCTCAAGACTTTGCAAGAAAACAGATTAGGTTTATTCTTGATTTTGCGATCACTAATACCATATCCAGCACTTTTCTTACTTTCTACCATTTGAACGCCTGTTCAATATTCTGAAGATGTTCCATTGAATCACATAAATAAATAAAAAAAAAAAAGAATGAAAGAAGATCTAAGAAGAATAAAATAAGGGCTAAGGAGTGTTTACACATTTGTGGTACCTCAAGCAACGCCTCCACATCTTCTGGTGCCTCCTCGTTAGCAGGTTGTTGCTGCGCTGAGTTGGTCTCCTCCGTTCCCATCTGTTACTACTATTATTGCTGCTGGTCACTACTGACAGAAATCCAAGGCCTTCACTGAAGCAGCCGGAGCTGCGAAGAGTTGCAGGGGGAGAACGAGAAATAGAAGAAAGCAATGTTTTTTAAAAGGGCAAATTTCGTAAACTACCCTTATAATTTATTTAATTGATTAACTCGCCCTTACTGTTTACTACCATTGCCGTTTCTGACAATTAGTTTTCGTTGCACTCCGTCTGTAATATCACGTAATTGATATATTTTTTTTAATTCTTAAAATACCCTTCCTGTAAACTGTTCATCTCCCTCAACCTTGAAACTAAGAGCAAAGTGTAGGGCAATGTGTACCCAACCATGGACAGGAACGTGAAATAGTAAAACCCACATACAGCCCGGAAACACAAGTGGGAACAGTTTCAGATCCGTGGATGCTTTTTATTTCAAATGGAGTGCAACGAGGAAAATTAATATTTTATTAATATAATAAAAATATTTAATTAATAAAAGGGATAAGATAAATTAAAAACTAATATGAATTTAAAATTAACATAAAACTAATATAGAGTTGTCTAACAATTATTAGTCTTATAATTAATTTGTACTAATTTAAAGCCAACTTAAGTTCTACTAAAAAAATAAAAATTTAATATACTTAATTAAATTTAACTTTTATTAATTTAAAAAATTAATATAAAACATTAATCTTAAATATAGTTTAATTATTTTAAAGCCAATTTAAATTCCATTAAAATAAGGAAAATTATAAACCTCCTTAGGTTTTCTAACAATCCTATAAAACTTTCCGTTATTTTGACCTAAACAAAAACCTTTCTTATTGTTTTGAAAAAAAAAAAAAGTGCAAATACCTTCCTTTCATTATCATTTCAAATAAAAAAAAATGTTCATTTAATGCATTAATTTTGATAACTTATAAATGTCAAAAGCCAAGGGAAAGGAGGTATTTGTACTTTTTTTTCAAAACTATAGGGAGGCCATTGTTAGGGTCAAAACACAAAAATGGTTTATAAAATTGTTATTTAGATGCTTTTTATAATTTTAACTAAAAATAATACAAAATAATAATAGTAAACTAATAAAAATTATTTTTCAAAAAATCTAATAAAAATTCACATTAAAACATAAAATAATAATAATAATAATAATAATAACAATAGAAATAATAATAATAATAATAATAATAATAATAACAATAGAAATAATAATAATAATAATAATAATAATAATAATAATACAACTTTATTTAACAAATAGGAAATTGGCCACTCTTATTAAAGTGTCACTTAGATTGTGATTGGATAAACTAGGCATCCAAAAAAGAATACTTGAATCAAATTTAGATGGGCACCACTTAATTGGAAATGTCATAAAATTCCATCCTCAATTTTACTTGTAAATAAAGTGGACTATACATCCACACATACATACATGCATGCATACATACATACATATATAAATATCCAAAAAAATATATAAAATTATAAAATTTCATTATTTCATATTATGATTTACTAATTTATATTCAAATTTTACATTTTACATTTCACATTTCACATTTCAGATATTCAAATAAAATAAAAATTATGATTTACCGATTTACCTCTTCAAAAGTATTGCCAAATGCAATTTGAAACTCCATACTCAAATTCGGGCTTCTAACTTTCAGCCCTTCAGGTTGCACGTAGCAGCTTAGGAATCACAGAAAAACTGAAAAAATAAAATAAAATATATTAAAATGAATGAAAAAAAGGGATTTTTGGATTGCAATCACAAAAAAAAAAAAAAACACTTTGCCAACTTCCATTCTCCCAGCAAGTTAGAAACTACAGATGTTACACAAAAAAAGCCTAAATCGGAAATGAGATATACACGAAACTAGAAAAAATGAAAATTGAAAAACACAAAATATAAAATAGAAGACTTACTAAGAATCCACCTCTCTCTGAAGTTCGAAACTTTGAATCGCCCAGTCCAATATAGTTGCCGACGAGAAACACGTTCATCGGCTGGAGCTCTGGGATCGCCCAAACTCAGCGAAATGCCAAAAAAACAAAAAAAAAATGTTGGCGTTAAGAACTGGTGTCGCTGGTAACCGGAGACGAAAAACACCTTCCTTCTGTGTCTTGCAATATGGCAGAATCTTTGTGAGTTTGTACAGCTCGTTGGTGACCGGAGATGAAAAACCCTTCGATGGTTCAACCATCTGGTTTAATGGTTTTTGACATTGTCAATAGTTTTTGGGAAAATCCTGGATTTTGTAAAATCCGGACCCGAAAAATTAACCGAGTAACAATTCAAAAAATTGGACCATCCGGATCAACGATGGGTTGAAAACCTGAGAAGAAAGCAATGTTTTAAAACCCGGCCCATAAACGAAGCCGCTATTTCCTCCGGTTTACAGGCCATTGGTTCAATCATCTAGGCCGAATATTTGGCCGATGTTTTTTCTTCCATTTTGACGGATGTACGAGATGGGATCATGGGAATGGATGATCATGGGTTGAGTTTTGGATTATATATATATATACAAAAAAAAAATATTATATATAATACTAGTTGCGACCCATGCATGCTGGGTTTTGCTCCTTTCGGTACAAACATTGGCATGGAACGACAAGAACATTGGCTCTGCATGACACTGACTACGATGGGAATGATTACGATTTACAAAGAATATGGTGATCCCAAAGCAAGCCCATTTCCAAGTGTTCATTTGAAGCTTGGCCTCTTAAAGCTGCGAGCCCATTTCGAGCGCCTGAAACTTTATAAAGGTTGGGCTCAAGCCCAATAATTCGGACCTTTTTATTCTTCGGGCTAGGTAGTGCGAACTAGACTTAGTTCACGGGCTGAGTAATACAACGGGCTGGCCCTGCCCAGTATGTTTGGAGGAGTAAATCAGGTCATACCGCTCGTAACTCAGTATAGCCCGGCACAAATTTGGACCAGTTCGGACCGATATGGCACGACAGTTTGTGGGCCGTGCCAAGCTTGGCACGATGGTCCATGCAGTGCTGGGCCTGGGGTTTTAGGTCCATAGGCCAAGCCAACTAATTTATTTATTGTATATATAAGCAATTATATACATAAAATTCATATAAAATTAAAAATTTAGGTGGCTGTTTGGCATTGTTGCCGTTTCTTGGAGCAACGACACCACATCGGAAAAAATGGTGCTCCAAGAAACGGGCATTTGTTTAGAACCATTTTTCCATAAAAAACGGTGCTCCAAGCCACACCACAAAAATCGGGAAGCCATGACTTGGAGTAACGCCAAATTTGGCATTTCCTAGAGCTATAGCTCCTTGCTGCCAACAGGGCACTAATGTGGCACTGGATAATGGGTACTAGTGCTGAAAACGTTTCCTGCAGTATTAGTATCAAATAGAAAAGTAATTGTTGCTCAAGAAAATGTCTTACCTAACAGCAATGCTTCCAAACAAAAATAAAGACATTGTTTTTTGACTTCCAACTACACATCAACAGCATATGCAGCATCGATGTTAAACATATACTAAGTTTTTTTATCAATTTTTATTTTAAATAAATAACTTTAGCCCGATGCATGGCCCAACCTGGCCCAAGACTTGACTCACGGGGCCTGGACCGTGCCTAACCAACCCCCAAATTTTTCACTGAAAAGGGCGACACTGCCCACTTTACACTTCTAAATATGTCCTAAGTCGGGGTTGGACAAAATTTTAAGCCCATAGGCACCGCTTAGGCTCTAAAACTCTGGGGTGAGAGCAACACCTCCTTGCCAAAGAGGTTCGTAGTAGAAAGGTGGTGAACTCTCACAACCTAGCTCCCTTCTCTTGCCTCCCCTGACTTAGCCAAAGCCCCTGCCATAACTGAAACTTCCGCATCCCTCTGCATCAAATCCCCGTCCGAAGACACCACCATTCCTGTATCTGGGCTGAGAGGAACAATTCCTTGTCCGCTCACCCCCACATTGAGAGCCTCTGTCCTTTTTGGGCCCCTGAAGTCCTAAGCTGAAAGAAGGGACGGGTTGAGGAGTCGAAGAGCTCAGTTCCATTCGTGTCTCCTGCCTCCGGGTCCCACTTTTGGACCAGCTCTCTAGGTAGGTTGAAACAGAACTATCGCCTTCCTGCGAGAAACGTTCCTCCGAATCGGACTCTTCTGAAGAAGTCGGCGCCACCACCTCTTTCCCCTTCCTTGACCCTTGAACCAAAGGCTTTCCCCTAAATATCGTTCTGGAAGGGCTTGTAAAACGAACTGGGCCAGGCCCACTAGGATGGCTGGCCTGACACGGTTCGCCCGAATAATTCTGATCTAGTGATCTGAATCTCACCCCCTTCGACTTGATTTGATCCAATCCAAAACCGCACCTTCCACGCGGTCTATAAAGGACTCTTCGTTCAACCCCTTTCTCAAGTCAGTCCAACCCGCCATTTCTCCTTGACCATTCGATCCAAAGTCCATCCTACGGTTCTGGTGTTTCTTCCTCCTCCTTCCCCTGACTGTCTGCCAACTCCGGCACCGTCTTGAGCCCTAAAAACTTCCAAAGTGACCGGACGTTCCTCCGCCTGCTGACCAAACCCTCCGGAATTTTCCAACCGGACGTTCATCGGGAATGGAGAAACCTGCCAGTGCTTTCTGAATTAGATTTTGGTCGACTTGTACCACTTCAGCAAAATCCGTCGGCACAGATATCTGGACAAGGAAGGGGACCCCTGACCCAGTTCGTTTCCTTGCACTGATTGAAGTACCCACCACTACATTAATTGCCAGTGGAGGGACCCCAGACCAACGCGCTTTAACCTAAAAGAATTCCACGTTTCCTTTGCCAGCCTCGGAGTTGTCGGCTTCCAAAAAACCTCCACAGAGGTCCCCTATGCCTCTGGCAAGGTTTGTGCTCCAAAGGTGTAGCGGCAAGCCATAGATCCTTACCCACACAAAACCAGGTAGGTCCTTGGAGGATTGCCAAGTTCTTGACGAATCCGACCATTGTTCAAGGTGCAACAGAGAAGCTTTGAAGCACCTGGAGCCAAAACTCACCACTCTTTTGGTGTCTTCCTAATAAGGGAGGAGGAAAAGCCAATACTCATCATCAAGCCTGCGCAACTCAACTCCTTTCAAACATCCC